AATATTTTTAGAACAGTGGTTTCTTCTATTTTTTTTTCTTTGTTTGTTTTTAATTTTGCTTTTCAAGTCATGGAGTCTTTGTATAACAGCTAAGGCTGTCCTGGGACCCTTTTTTGCTATTGTCAAATTCACAGAGATCTGTCTGCCACTGCCTCCTGAGTACTCTGATTAAAAGCATGCACTAACAACATCCAGCAAATTTCTACATTTTTAAGGTACTGTCTTTCTGTTTAATTAGGCACAGAAGGGCATAATCTGTTGTTTGATACTGAAAAACTGAAGGCTAAGATTCTTTGATGTACGAGGTGGAAACATTAAGCTCTAAAACTGAAGGTAAAAGTCTTTTCCCCCAGCCACTTCCTGAATTGGTGTATTAGGTAGGATTTTTGTTATGTTCCTGCTTGAAGCAGTATTTTACTGGGAACACACCATTGACATATTCAGTGTTGAAAATGTAAAAAAATGTAAATATTTACAATGAAAATTTGTCATTGTTTGTTGTATTGCGTAATAGGGAAACATGTAGACCAACGAAGATTATAGGTTTCTACTCATAATTATAGATTTCACCGGCAGGAATTTATTTTGCAAAAGAAGTTCTATTAGTATTCATCACATTACAAATTTTGAAATTGGGTCTGGAGAAAAGGCTTAAGTGTAAAAGTACTGGCTTCTTTTCCAGAGGTAGACAGTGAAATTTCCAGCAACGACATGGTGGTTCACAACCACCTATATTGAGATCTGGTGCCCTCTTCTGGGCTACATGCATACATGCAGGCAGAACACTGTACATATAAGAAAGAAAGAAAGAAAGAAAGAAAGAAAGAAAGAAAGAAAGAAAGGAAGAAAGAAAATTTGGAATTCATACGAAATATTGACAAAGATTAACAGAGAACTAGCTTTTCCATCAATCATCAGTTCAAGTAGATTAACAGTATAATATGTGCACCCAGTAATGACTCTCACTTACTAAGGGAAAAAACTATAGACAAAAACAGCATGAGTGAACTAGATATGTTTTATGTAAACATATCTCTCAAAAGTTAGTTTTCTATTTTTTCATTACATAATCTAATTGTACAGATGTAATCATCTTACACTATGAAAAATTGATCTTCAAAATGATAGTGATGTGTATTATAGATTTTTATAGTGCTATGTCCTTTTGTTGTAACTAACTGCCAATTCGGGCTGTTGTTTATAGCTCTTACAGGGTTCATAATAAGGACTGACCAATTGTTTAAATAACAGCCAGTGTTCTCCTCAGTAATACATGAATGGGAGCAAAAGTTAGGATGCTACAGTTTCCTTGACCTCTTTTGAATATCATTTCATTGAGAAGTGAAAAATATATGCTACATGATGAAGGCAGAAGGACAGACACTGTAAAGATCTGCAGATGCAGAGCGTGTTTGTGAATATTAGTGCCAAGGATGGAAATGTCCCATAAGTGCATATTTATGGAAAAAACTCTGTGTAGAATGGAATGGTAAAAAAAAAAATCCAAGCACTCCTGGGGCATAGACAAGCTGTGATAAAATAGAGGGAAAACAGTGTTGGGTTACCAAGAACCAAGAGTATCTTAGTGAAACAATTTTGTCACCAAAACAAGAATTTATAAACAATGGCACATCCATTAAAATTCCCACAAAGAATAAAATTTACCACAAAGCAAGTGTTCTGAAAACCTAGCAATAAGGGTATGGAGAGAATAAGGATGTACTTAATCTGCACTTACTGTAATGGGAGATATGAATCATCAGATATAACTAGAAAATTGATAGATAAGTGTTCTTTATAGAATCACAGGAAATAGAAAAATTCTAGGTTAGATTAGAATCTGAGTTCCTAATTTCTTTTAGACAAATACTGAAAAGCGCCATAAAATAGTCTATGCAGAGTAAAAGTTTGAACCGACATTTCAATCTATTGAATTCTCAATATCAAGGTTTTACTTTTACAGTCTTGGCTTTTGTGTCTTCTTTTTTGGGGAGAAACATATCTTTTTCATACAGTATATTTTCATCATGGTTTTCTCTACCTCAACTTCTCCCACATCTTCCCAACCTATTCAACTTCATGTCCCACTTACAAAGCAAACAGAAAAAATAAACTAGAATAAAACAGTACACTCAAACAAGAAAAATAAACAAAGAAAACTCAAGAAGCACATATGAAAGTAAATGCATGCACACACACAAAAGTGCACAGCATAAGTAAATAAAATCAGAAATAATGATAAATAAGCAAAAGACAAGTAGGGTTAAAAATGCTCAAACAAAATATTACAAACAAAACTTCTCCAAAGCTATCATTGAATATGCTGTGTGGTGGCCGTTTTCTTCTGGCATGGGGCCAGTCATTAAGTGTGTTTTGTATATACAATGAAACTGCTTTGGAGAAAATGATTTTGACCTTTCAGATGGTTGTCAGTTGTAGAATGCTTCTGAGCTAGGGATGGGTGCTCAAGTCCACTTCCCCTCTTAGTGCTGGAATCCTATCTGACTTGGATATGTGCAGGCCCTGTGCATACTGGCACAGTGCCAGTTCATGTGTGCATCAGTCTTAACTATGTCTGATACCTGATACGCACTGCTTTCTTGAAGTCTTCCATTTCTTTGCCCTTTATAATCTATCTCCCTTCCTCCTCATCTACATACTTCAGAGACTCTCCTTTGTTTTCATTGTCGTTGTTTGTTTGTTTGGGTGGGGGGTTGTTTGGGTTTTTTATTTGTCTGTTTGTTTCGGGGGAAGTGTTTGGTTTTTTGTTTGTTTATTTGTTTGGGGGTTGTTTGGTCCTTTTTTTTTTGTTTGCTTGTTTGTTTTGTTTTTAAGACAGGGTTTCTCTGACTGTTTGGGAGCTCTCTTTGTAGACCAGGCTGCTGTTGAGCTCACAGAATCTACCTGCTTCCACCTCCTGAATTCTGTGATTATAGGTATGTGCTACCACCACCTGGCACACTTCAATGAGTTTTTTTACTCTCTGCATTGTCCAGTCATGGATCTTCATATTTGTTCCAATTTCCTGCCGCAGGAAGTTTCTCTGATGATGGCTGAACAGGACACTTATTTATAGATATAGCAGAATTTTAGGAGTTGTTATTTTGCTCTGTTCCATTAGTAGAAAAATAATATTTGATTTTCCCTTAGGTCAATGGCCTATCTGGTCTCAGATTCTTTAACACCTGACCAGTGTCAGGAATTTATTAAAAATAAAAGAAAAAATATACAACTATACATTTTGACACAGAAAAATTCTACATTAAACAGTTTAGGATAAAGCGCTAAAAGCAAATAAGACAATCACTTCTGGTGTAGAAGGTTCTTCTGTTCATTTGTTGCTTTCATTGGTTAATAAATAAACAAGCAGTTTTGGACCTGATAGGGCAGAACTTAGGTAGGTGAAGAAGACAGAACTGAATGCTGGGAAGAAGGACAGAGTAAGAGACATCTTAAATCTTTGGCCCAAGATGGATTCTGTTTAGAATCTTGCCGGTAAGCCACAGTCATGTGGTGATACACAGATTAATAGAAACGGGTTAAATTAAGAAGTAAGAATTAGCCAATGAGAAACTAGAGCTAATGAGCCAAACAGTGGTTTAATGAATATTGCTTCTGTGTGGTTATTTTGGGTTAAGCTAGTTGGGCGACAGGGACAAAAAAAAAGGACCCTCTCTTACAACACACTTCACCATAATAAAAAATAAAAGTAAAAATATAGTATTTCAATATGTATATCCATGTCTTTATAAATGAATGTACCAATTTTGTTATAAATATCACTAATTATGTAGTATTTATATTGAAAGTCACTTAGAGACAACTAGCTATCGCAGGTAAAAACACTGTATATACGTTTCTCTATGATATACTCAGCTCACAGTAGTGATATTCCAGACATTTTTAAACTATTCAATGAGTTACCAGTGGCTCTGACATCTTTATTTGTCTTTATCTTTTTAGTATAGCTATGAGCATCTATGGAAGTTTCCCAAAGTTAGTAGCTGTCATTTTCTGTCAACACCAAATATGGTAGTGTGGGAACACTCTTATTTCTATCTTTTCTATATTTACAAAGAGTTTCAGTCTTTACATTCAGCTTTCCTTGTGTATAGTAATACCTGAAAAGGATCTGTGTCTGAAAGACTGACTGATTAAAACTCCAGTGATGTGGGAAATTTCAATGTTCCTAGTCCAGAGACTAATTACTTTGTGCTTGCTTGTCCAACTCTGTCAGAAATAACATGCTTTGGCTAATAGGTTCAAAAAGAACTTTTGAAGTCTATAAACTTTTATGTACCACTAGCTTGCTTCAAAAGCTAAGAAGGTCATCAGACAGCATCTCAGGCCTTTGGAAAACCTCCTGCTTCCTGCTGCTCTAAGAACTTTAATGATGTAAACAACGATGTGTCTTAAACTTGCCTTGCTTTCTGATGTTCCTTATTCTGTAAAACTATACAACTCTCCGAACACAGTATTTAGGATAATATTTTTCTATGCTCTCAGGCCCTGGCCACTCAAAATGGCTCCAGAATAAACTATCTTTTATTTTCTTTCAGGTGAGAGTTATGGTTTTTTGAATCAACATTCTTAGACACTTTCCACACTTATCCCCTAATGAATGTTAACTTCTGAGCTATTTACATGAGACTGAACTCAGCTGTGATCTCCTCTGAGTTACATGGTCAAAAGAAGACATAACTCTCAGAAGAATAAAATCTTCAGAAAGGCTGGCACATGAATATAATAAAATTCCATGATCGTGCTGAAACAAGAGAGAGGGATCCATGTGAATATGATCAAAATACTTTATGTATGTGTATAAACTTGTCAAACTTGACAATTACAAAAAAAATATAAAAATACCATGATCTAGTCAATTATGCTGAATGAGATTCAGTACCTAGTACCTTCTTATACAGAAACATTTAAATTCTCTCTTTTCTATTCTCTCTCTCTCTTTCTTTTCTCTCTCTCTCTCTGCCTTCTCTTCTCTCCAGCTTTAGATCCAGCTAAGGATCCATGCTTAAAGATCAAGTGCAGCCGTCACAAAGTCTGTATCACTCAAGATGCTCAGACTGCTCTCTGCATCAGTCACAGGAGACTATCACACAGGTAAACACTTGGAAATGAAAACTTACTAATAGAGTATTAATATTTGCTACAGTCTGAATATTTAACCATGTTTTGATATTTGATGAAGATATTTGTTTAAAGGGCTCCAGAATTTTGTGTAGTATAGTCATGATAGAAATGGGTTAAATTTTGTCGTCATATAGAATCCCTAGGGACTAGGTAGCTTTAAGTCTAAATTATACAAGGCTGACGTTGTAAAGATTGAGTTAAAATGTGTTTTCTGAGTAGATACTCTTTTCAAATTTAAAGAGTAATTGTAATTTACTCTTCATAATACCTCTATAAGTGAGGAACATTGAAACCTTCAAACTAGACCATTCTCTCAGTTAAAGACAGTTTATTGACTTGAGGTGGGGACTGCTGGAGATACCTCCGAGAACAGAGACCAGATCCTGGTTGCAAAAGCCTTAACTATTTTATTGGTTTGGTAATAGTGGGAGGTGACATGTGAACCAGAACAGCCTGATAGAATAGGGTTCTGATCTATTGCAGGCTGTTTGGGTTAATAAGGAACCGGATGTTCTTGCCTAAGATAGTTGATTATGATCTTAGATTAGGTAGGTAGTGGCGTCCCTGATAAACAGAAACATGCCTGATGTGAGATTCCCCTCTGTATGCTGTGAATACCATTGGTGACTACAGAAACTGCCTTGAGCAGAGCAGGACAGAATAGAGATAGATGAGGAAAACTAAACTGAATGTTGGGAGAAGGAATACAGAGTTTGGAGAAAAGCCATGGTGTTGGTGTCAGAGACAAACATTCCAGAACCTTGCTGGTAGGCCATGACCCTTATGGTAAAATAAAAAAATAATGGAAATGGGTTGAATTGAGTTGTAAAAGCTAGCCAATAAGAAGCGAGCTAATAGGCAAAGCAGTGATTTAATTAATACAGCTTTTGTGTGGTTATTTCGGGAGTCTGGGTGGCCGGGAAATGAACAAGTGGCTTCCTTCTTCAAATTGGCACTTCAACATGGTCTACTAAATCCACATAAAATCTCAAGATTTTTGTGGAATGCTGAGTTTAGGTTTCTTTTTATCCCACAGCAATTTCTGTTTACCAGTCATATGTCTGGCTGGATTTGGGCTAGGCTCTCAAGTAGGCCATTGTCAGCAGCACTGCCATATTTGAACCTAAATTCTTCTACTTACTCTTGATTATAAATATTTATACATCACAGTTTATGACAAAGTTCAGGATAAAGGAAAGAATTAGTTTGTGAATAGTTATGGAAGAATCTTAGAAATCCTACTGTGAAGATTTTGGAGCCTATTAAAGAACACTTCTTTAAGAATCTCTCCTATTGATGGTGTACTTGTAGCTATGCCCTCAAGCAGGCAAATACTCGCAGACCCAGACTGAGTTATGTAAATCCTTTGATCACAGTTATCATTATGCCTGTAGAGTTGGGTCTACTTTGAAGAGTCATCCATTTACAAATAGCCTATGCAGCATGGTTCCAAGACTTGAGAACTGAAAGTCACCATAATCACAAAAGAACTAGCCAGAAGAAAGAAGAAATATATTACACCTCTTGCATCCAATGAATCCTATGTGCATTCCTCTTTTTTTTTTAAATTGGAATAGTTTATGTACTGTCTTTAAATAAAATTAGGAACATTGCTACTAGACTATTCTCAGATGACAGGTGAAATATTTGGCTTTAGTAGACTTGCATACTAATATATTAAAGACACGGGTGTCTCACCGCAGGAACTTGAGAGGTGTGGCAGAAGAAACATAAATTGTATACCTGACTAGGGTTAAAACGGAGTTCAACTCCAGCTTTGATAACTTATAAGACACCATCCAGATTAAAAATAAAAGAAAGATTAGAGCCAGAACTTGTTTGGGTATGTAACTAGGCAGCATGAAAAATAATAACAATAAAAAGACACACCAAGAGATGGCAAAAAGAGCACATTAGAGAATAAAAATGGGTTATATATCCATCAAAGAGCAAATATTTATGTTTAAGTAATACTCATCATTAATATAAACATATAAAGTCTTTTATACATTGAATACATTTGAAATTTTATTATGTCAAATCTGTAGTGGTAGATACTTAGAGTCAAGGTAGATAGAAACAAACATACCTGTAAATCTCTTAGTATGCCTTGAGGTATATGTATGTCCTGATGGTGGAGTGATGGCAAAAATTAAAGAGACAGTTTTTAAAATTTTGAAATCACATATGTATAACATCAGTGTGCTAGAGAAATTCACAAAATGACAGAACAAATTTACTAGTAACATATTGCCTGTCAATCATGATTTTTGTGTTTTATTAATAAAGGAATGGCAATGTCCTAGGCTGGAAATTTTGTTATTAACCTACTTCCTTAGGATCCTAAAGATATACTGAATTTTCTGAAACTTTTTTGTTTCCTCTGCTCAATTTAAAAATACTAGTATTTGATGTGTGAAAATGGGAGTATAATGAAGAGTTTGACTTGAGGGATCAGTAGGCAAGAGGTCTCAAAATGCCTTCAAATGAAATTCAGCACCCACCTTTCAGAGACTAAATCAAATCATTTACTTATAAGCAAAAATAGGACTGAAGACATGTCTCAGTAATTAGGCATATTTGCTGCTGTTTCATTGAACCCAAGTTTTGTTCTCAGCACCCACATTGGACAGCTAACACCTGTAACTGCATTTACGTGGGTTTTAAAAACCATTTCTGGTCTATGTAGGCACTGAATTTACATGATATACATACACAAAATTCAGAGATATAAATATACATGTGATATTAATTAATTGAATATTCTTTTTAAATTCCACAAAACGTAGTACATTTCCAACCAAAAAAAAAAAATCGAGCTTTTAGAAGGACTCATTGATACTTTCTTTCTGATTTCATGAATCTCAGTATTTGAATTTCCTGAGATCAATGCCTAAGCTTATCAATAACCATGCTACCTCACTGTGAGCACCTAACATTAGGCCCAAGAAGATGACTCAACAAATAAAGGCATTTATCACTAAGCTCAATGACCTGATTTGGATTCTTCAAACCAACAATATGGGAATAAAGAACTAAGTCTTGTAAGTTGTCCTCTGACTTCCATTCATGTTCCATGACAGTCACATACCTCTGCTCCACCACACACACACACAATGAATGAATAAGTAAATAAATAAATGGTTTTAGAAGACTAAGGACTATAAGAAACGTACTTTCTAACTGTCTGATGAGAAGGATAGTCAGAGACCAATAACCTAAATGTTCTCAGTGCAAGAAGCTATTGAGCCACACCTTGAGTGTAGAAAGAGTAGCAACATTCTTTTAGTGACCCCTGGAGTGATAAAGATCTCCAGGTTTTAAATTGGCTGGTTTTAATATTTTATATAAATTGCATTTTGTCCTGGTTTTTTGTTTTTTTGTTTGTTTGTTTGTTTGTTTTAATGATAGGAGCTACTTAAGATGGTACACTGAACACAATCCATACCCAAAAAATAAAATGTTGATATTAATATTTTATGTGGTTTGTTTGCTTTGAGAAGTCAGCATAAATTGTATACTTACACAGCCTATAGGAAGTAAAACTTTGGCATGCACCCTGATCTATGACAATAGCTAATATAAAGAACACAACTATTACATTTGGAGGATGTGAACATCTTAAGTTAGAAGAGGGCAATCAAGTAAATAAAAACTAATTCAATTATTGTATTGATGTACTTATGTCAGAACACTAAAAAGAAGTGAACGCCATTGTCTGCAGTCTCAAGTGCTAGGAGAGTCTTCTTACTCAAGATGCTTCCTTCAATCTTCCCCCTAAACTAAATATCACAACCTCTTCTCCTTTTCCTTAGAACCTTGAACTTTTTGTTTTATAGTGTTCATTTCAATCACAGTAAATTATCTTATTCAAGCACTCATTAGTTGACTGGACATCTCATGAACTTGGCCTTTTTGTCCCTCCAATATTGAAGACCCAAGTCCTGTGGACTGGTAGATTCACATTTTCTTTGAATGGAGTGCATTGACTGTTACTTATAGTTCATTCAGTGTTGTAGTTTCATCAACTGCGAGAGTCATTCTAGGTGTATTGTGTCCATGTACTTCAAGCATACTCTCTATAAGCAAATACAGGATTTGCATGGAGGGGTGGGGAATCAACATATACTTTTTAAAATTATTGGGGAAAGAATACATGTAGTACTTAACAAAAAGGCTATAAATACACGAGTTGGAAGGTGTCTGTTATTTTTAAATTGTAAGTTTGTGCATTGGATTTGTAAGTAGATAAAACAATAAACTTTTTTTATCTTGGTGGTATGAAAATCATATAATCAGAGAGATCATATAATGGCATATCTTACTATATGTTTGTCTTAAGCTTTAACTTCAACTACTAGCATAGAGTATGATGTAAAAAGTCCAAATATGTTAGGAAACAGAAAATAATATTCGGATAATATTTCCAGTGAAATCTTCTCTGGTAAGATGCCCTTAAGTCACCACAATTCTAGGTTTTTTTTTTTTTTTTTGCAAACTTGCCTTTATCAGTATCATCAGAAAATAAAACACATAGTTTATAGTTTTTTACTATGAAAAATACTAATTATTAAAACTTTCCAAATATTTTCGTGGTTTAATGCAATTGCTGATAGTTTTCTTAGACCTTGAATGTTATCCATTTTGTTATCTATTTTTTTATCTTATTAGCTTAGTGTTGTACATTTGCTGACCATGAGTGCCACGTTCTCTTTATTTTCATGTATTTCAACACTTGGGATTTCATGCACCTGAGATGGCTGTGTAATAGCATGCAATTAGCACTGTCTCTAGATCAGTGTTTTGGGCACCGATCAATAAGGGCAATGTTAAGGAGAAAATGGGTAGGTGTTAACAAGTCAGAGAAAAGAAAAAAGATGCAGTCAGTGTTGGACAAAGTTAATATTGTTAATTTCTGCCTGTACTCAGCACAAGATAAAAAACAAATCAATAAGTAGATGCTTTGGCCT